TCGCTCACTCAAGTAGGAGAGAGACAGATGTCGAACGCTGCCGAACGCGGAGGCCGATTGTGCCTCTTTGTCGCTCGTTCCGCGCTCTCGCTTGTACTTCAAGCCTTAAATGGAACGCCTCAGAGCGAGGTAACGCCGCATGAGTCATGTTTTTTCGTGCTCCATCGAATTATAAGACGTTGTCACGTCAAAAACACCAATAACTATTTATATCTATTTATAACTAATGTCAGCTATTACTATGCATGTTTCCACAAGTGTCATGCCATTATAAGCAGTTGGTCACTCTAACCGGACTCAGTATAAACAAACTGGAATATACTTAAATGAAAACGAAACTATCCAATGCAGTTACGATGTAACAGACGAACGAACGGAGTCGTTATAGACGATAGTTGCAATATTACAATTAGTATTATGATAGCAATTCAAAATTCTTTGGTTAGGTTATGAGTTAGAAAAATGCTTTTTTTTAACAAAGAATACTCATTTTGTATATTTTATAAAATAAGTATATTTTTTAAAAAGATTTAAAACAACAATTTTTTACCTCAGTACAACAATAGCTTAAAATCACAATATTTTGGTAACAATAATTAAAATAGTAACAACTGTTATAAAATTAGTCATTCAACAGTGCTGCACAGTCTATATCTTCAGCTGCTTTTTCGAAAGACATTCTTAGATGGTCTTCAAAGACAGATATGGCACGTCCTCTCAAATTTGCTATCACCCAATTACGTAATCTATCAATTAGCCAACTAAGAGACCCTAAACCCGATGAATCCATATCAATATCACTGTCAAAATAGAAGAAAATATTAAATGCTGTTAAAAATTGTTTTTAAAAAAATGGCATTAGATTGTTTATTGAATTCTAAGACATTTTCTCCTTTACAGTTTTTCGATACGACGCCTAATAACCAAGTAATTAAAAAGTAAATGTTGCCATAAGTGACTCATTAGAGCGCGCTTCATTGTTGCAAGTAGAAGTAGACACATAGCTGCTAACAATTGAAGCGCGATCTACGCTTACTTGCAGCTTGCAACAAACGAAGCGCGTTGCGCTCTAATGTTTAATAGCTAATAACTTGAGAACTAAGTATCAGATTGGAAAACTGTAAAGGAAAAAAGTGCTCAGAATTTTAAAAGGAATCGGTCGGTGAATTTGTAAAGTACCTACGTTTTGTATTAAAGTAATTTATTGATTATTATCTATTATAGTACAATACATTCAAATGGAGTAGACTTTAGAAACTTACTTTAGATTTGTGACTTTGATTTTTTCTATTCTACACTTAATTTTTTCCTCCCTCTTCGACACCGCCATCTTTACAAATATATTACTGTGGTATATACTGGTTTTTATTGTCCCGGTGACCCTATTTTCTAAATACTCCGCTGTAAAATTGTCATATCCATGCTGAAATCAAAATCAGAATTAAACGCACACAATAAAAACTCGATATACATTGAAATGGTAGACTAGATGGAAAACTAGTTTTAAACCATGAGAAAAATAGACAAAACAATCAAAAACATCCAACCTTGAGCAGAAATAACTAGTAAGATAACTAAAATTCACAATGTGACGTTGCTTGATACTGTGCCTACATACAATAGACATCATTCAAATGAAAATTGATTTTTCATAAGAAAAAGGCTTTGTTATATGCTATTAGGTTTTCCTTTAGGCATGTATAAAACTGTTTAGAAGAATAGTCTGCCAGATTACGTTTGCCAAGAAAGTTTTTTTATGTATCTATTTTTTTATGCCTAGCGACGGTAATAAATTTTCTGTATCATTGGCCGTAAAAAAAAAAATAAAAAGTCGTTATTTTTTGTTGCCAGCGGAAAACTGATTCATTCAAGATTTTGGTTTTTATTACATTATGTACGCTTATTTTATATATGCTAGTTTTCGTCTATGACTTCGCTCACACATTCGAGAACTGTTGTGGTCATCATCATAAGGTCGTCAGTCCTAAGACTGGTTGGAAACACATCTTCAGTCTTTCCTATCCTGAGCTAATCTTCGCATTTTCCTAAAACTAGAACATCCCACATCCATAACTATTTGTGAACAGTAATCTAATCTACATCTACCTCTACCTCTCCTAACTCCTGTTTCTGCCTCTAAAATGTCTCTAAATAGACCTTCATGCCTGAGAAGGTGTCCTACCAACCTATCGCCTATTTCTTATTGACTTCCATAGAGTCCTGTGTTCTCCTATTCTTTCTAATACCTCTTCATTTCTAACCTTTTTTATCCACGGTATCCTTATCATTTGCATGTAACGCTACATTTTGAACGCTTCTAACCTATTCTTTTTCACCGCACCCATCGTCCATGTTTCGCAACCGTACAGCGCCGCGCTCCAAACATACACCTTTAACAACTTTTTTCGAATTTGTAAATTAACCGTTCGCGAGCATAGAAGTGACTTCTTTTTATTGAAGGCGACTAGACCCTGCGCTATCCTCTGCTTTATATCCCTACTTTTCCTTCCGTCTTAATTTCCTAGATGCCTAAAATCGGTCACTTCTTCTAATTTTTCGTCTCCCATATTTATATTCACTCTCTCCATACTTTTCCTTCTCTTGCATACCAGTATTTTTGTTTGTGTTTTATTTATTTTGAAACAATACTGTTTTGTCAACACCGCTTCCATTTTATTTAAAGCTCTCTGACTCCTCCTTTTTAGGTGCTAATACTGCTGTATCATTTGAAAATCTAAGCATACTAATCTATTGGTCCTGTATTACTATCCCTACAGTTCTACTGTCTTTAATGGTATTGATCGCGTCTTCGATGTATAGATTAAGAAGTAGCGATGACAGTGTACATCCTTGTCTGACTCCCTTCCTAATATTTACTTTTTTACGTTGCAACCCTTGCTCTATAACTACCTGTTGCTCTTCATACAAACTAAGTATCACCGTTTTATCTTTGTAACTCATCCCTACATCAATCTTATGTACGCTTTTTTTATCGTTTTCTCTATTGTTACCCGTAAAGCTAGAATGGCCTCCCGCGTTCCTCTATTTCTTATAAACCCAAATTTATCTTCTCCTAATACTTCTTGCGCCCTTTTTTCCATCCTCCTCTGTACAATTCTAGTTATGATTTTTAACGCATCGGGAGTTAAGCTAATTGTTCTAAATGTCTCGCACCTATCCGCGCCTCTCTTTCTAGTTATGGTTACTACCACGTTCCGTTAGATTGCTCTGGAACTTTCTCCGTCTCGTAAATGTGACTAACTAGCTTAAACATACTATCTCTAACCTCTTGTCCTGCATGTTTTAGAATTTCCGCCTGTATCCCATCTACACCTGGCGCCTTATTATTCTTGAAGTTTTTAATGCTACATCGAACTATTTTCTCATAATGGAATAACCTAGCTCATCTACCTCTACGCTATTTTCCTTCTCTATTATATCTCCTAGAGTATATTTATCCAGGAAAGAATATTGTTTTCAAGGGATAAAAAAAATTAGTTTTATGATTGATTTCACATCTGAATTACGCAGTCCATGATTATGAAATTTTGTACACACATTTTCAGGGGTACAGAAAAGCATATAGGGTACCTTTTATCTAGAAAAAATGCTGTTCCCGACAGATAGAGTAAAATTAGCTTTATGTGGTCGATGTCACGCCTTAACTATTCAATCGATCATCATGCAATTTTGTTGACACATTGTCAGGGGTACAGAGAAGGACATAGGCTACCTTTTATACAGAAGAGAAAATCCCTCGGAAACAATTTCTTTTTCTGGATAAAAGATATTCTATGTCAAATTTATCGCTANCTCCAACGAGCTCCATTTAAATATATGGATATCTACTTGCTGAAACGAATCCCGGCGTAGCTAACCACTACGTGAAAGGCACGTTACCATAATCGAATAAAATAATTCGAAGTGGTCTGTATTCTGTCGTATTACTACTCAAAAACGATCTTATTTTTCATTAATTACACTGCAATCTAACACAAAGTAAAAAAATATAACTGTGAGCCACACAGACACTGTAGGGCGGATGCTGTTTATTCAATTACTGAACTAGACATATGCTTTGTTTGACCCACTGCATAAAACAACAACAATGAAGCAAAGACGAGAAAGATTTTCTGTTTTGAATGCATGCACTTTATATTGAACGTTCTTTGTCGGCGTATCGTGCAATTTTACTTTCGAGACAGAACGTAATAGACGGTTTGTCTCGCATTGTTACGATATTTCGCTGGGAAATTCAATTTTCAGTAACGGAATTCCCCGAAGTCCGATGAGTGTTTGTGATTTTAAATTTACCAGTGATGTGTGAGAACAAAATTGCATTGTGACTGCATTCTGTTATCGAAAATAAAAACAAAATGCATATTTTTGTACATACCTCAACTCATTATCTAAGTCGGCCAAGGTTTCCGTGACCGAGTCTTCAACTATCACAGCTCCGAGTTGTTGTTTAAAAACATTTTTCAGAACATCAGTTAGTTCGCTCCAGAAGGAATGCGCCAGTGTCTTTTCTTACATCAAAAAAAAAATATGTTATAATCTATTACTCATACAAATTATTCATTTTCTAGTGACTAATAAGTTTTCTGTTGTAGAGAATCTCACTGACAAGTTGCTCAGAACGCGCTCGCCTACAGTCAGGAGAGTTATAGACTGCAAAGCACACTTGTCTCCAATCGCATTCCGCTTAAAGTACGCAGGCATAAGACTCATCACTTACTCAAAGGGCACTCGCCTACGCTCATGGCAGATTTAAGCTTTCTCGCCGTTTTCTTATGTTCATATTGCTACAACTGATACTTTCTTAGGAAATAAATTTTTTGGGGCATATTATGTGAATGGCCACAGCCAACAACTCACAAGTTGCTCAAAGCGCGCTCGCCTACAGTCAGCGTTAACTCATGACACTCTCGTCTACAAGAATATTTGACTCAAAGGGTCTCTCAGCTACAGTTACAAGCCACAAATCACACTTGTCTCCTAACACATTCAGCTTAAAGTAGACACGTATACGACTCATCACTTACTCAAAGCACGCTCGCCTACAATCATGACGGGCTTAAACTATCTCGTCGTAATCTTATGTAGATATTACTACAACCGATATTTTCTTAGGAAATAAATCATTTGGAACATGTTACGCCAAGGCGCGGTAGTCAATAACTCACAAGTTGCTCAGAGAGCGCTCGCCTACAGTCAGCGTTAAGTCAAGACAATCTCGCTTGCAAGCACGTTTGACTCAAAGCGCCTCTCGCTTACAGTTACAGGCTACAAAGCACACTTGTCTCCAATCACATTAGGCTTAAAGTACACACGTGTACGACTCATCGCTTACTCAAAGCACACTCGCCTACAATCATGACGGACTTAAACTATCTCGTCGTAATCTTATGTAAATATTACTACAACCGATATTTTCTTAGGAAATAAATCATTTGGAACATGTTACGCCAAGGCGCGGTAGTCAATAACTCACAAGTTGCTCAGAGAGCGCTCGCCTACAGTCAGCGTTAAGTCAAGACAATCTCGCTTGCAAGCACGTTTGACTCAAAGCGCCTCTCGCTTACAGTTACAGGCTACAAAGCACACTTGTCTCCAATCACATTAGGCTTAAAGTACACACGTGTACGACTCATCGCTTACTCAAAACACACTCGCCTACAATCAAGACGGACTTAAACTATCTCGTCGTAATCTCATGTAGATATTACTACAACCGGTATTTTCTTAGGAAATAAATCATTTGGAACATGTTACGTCAAGGTCTAGTCAGAGACATATTAGAGGCAGAAACAGGAGTTAAGAGGAGTAGAGATAGACCTGCATTAAATTACTGTTGGGAAATGGTTAAGGATATGGGTTGTTGTGATTTTGTGTAGTGGAGGTGCGTGTCAAACCAGTCTCAGGACTGACGATCTTATAATCTTCTCAAACTGTCTCTAATATAACTACCAAATATAAAGTACTTTGAAAATCAACTCTCGTCCTGATTACTTCTGATTAGTTTAATATTTTAATTCCTTACCTATTCTCAATTCAGTAATTTCGCTTTCGACAATATTCCCATTCTCCCCCTGGTAATGTACCTTAACAGGAAGGAAACTTTAATTAGTAGGAAGCTACATCTGGCATAATTTATTGGACATACTGACACTGTAACTTCACCAGGTTCGAAATCCAAATCGTAATTTTCTGCGACAAACGAATCCTCCCGAAGGAAAAGCCCTATCCTGCCGGAAGCCACAACGTTCGAAATTTTTATACTGGAAACAAAAAAGGATTTTGGTAAAAAGATTAACTTATATATCCTCTAACAGTTACCAGAAACTGAGAAAGAAAAGAACAAAGGGCGCAATGGAGAAGTATTCGTTTTAGATAGAAAAAGAATGATTTGAAAAAGTTGTTCCAAATAAGAAATGTATTCACAGAATCGAGAAAGCCATTGATACATATATAAAAAATGTGTAAACATGTTTACAAAACCACTCGTCAATCGACAAAACATTATTTTTATTCGGATTGTTAGTGGTTCTTATATTTTTCTCTTATTCATGAATGAACTCGAGCATTAATGTTCAAACAAGTTTTACTACTTTTTTCCAATAGATTCACAAAAATTTCAGAACATTTAAGTTGATGTTTCCCAGTTTTTTAAGCTTTAAGTAATTAAAAAAACAAAAGTAACATACCCGGTATCGTATTTTATTTTTTGAGCCAATTTTGCACAGCGAAGATAGCCTAGCTCATACTTCAATTGTTTACAGTGATTCGCTTACTTCACTTTGCATCTATGAAGCACATTGAAGTAAGCGTTGCCCATACTTCAAGTGTTTACTGTGGATTCGCCTACTTTACCTGGCAACTATGAAACACAGTGATGTAAGCGTGACTCATACTTCTGCTGTTTACGGTGATTCGCCTACTTCACCTTGCAACAGTGAAGTAAGCGTTGCTCATACTTCAAGTGTTTACTGTAGATTCGCCTACTTTACCTGGCAACTATGAAACACAGTAATGTAAGCGTGACTCATACTTCAGTTGTTTACGGTGATTCGCCTACTTCACCTTGCAACAGTCAAGTAAGCGTTGCTCATACTTCAATTGTTTATGGTGATTCACCTACTTCACCTTGCAACAATGAACCACAGTAAAGTAAGCGTGGCTTATATTTCAGTTGTTTACAGTGATTCGCCTACTTCACCTTGCAGCAATGATTGCAATCTTTAACTGTTAATAACTTTGTTCTAACGTATCGCATTAATAAACTACAAAGACAAATAATGTCTTAAAATTCTCAGACAAATAAACTTATTTATTGATTATTTTATTTTATTTCACATTTCCGTCAATGTTATGAGATGCCATTGTTCTTCATTATATTATAATTGTTAGTGTAGGTACGCACCTTATACCTCCGCTATGTGTAACAGCTAGCAATCTCCTTAACGTTCTATTATTGGCTTCATAGTCACCCTCGACCTTAAGGGTTCCGAAATTGAGAACTACATCTAATGTTAAAAGCTCAAAGTTGACCGAGAGCTTGGCCACCCTCACGTCGGGGGCGGGGCTAAGAACCAAATTTTTCAATTCACTAAAACAAAAGAAAAAGAAATACTTATAAATCGTCTATTTTTGTTTCATAAATTAGTGCATAAATTACAATAATTAAAATAATTTCACATTACTTACATATCCGAGTCACTCTCTGATATAAGAGCATCATTGAGTGGATAACTATTTTCCCCTGTTGTAATATTATGCCTACGAATTCCTTCATTTTGAATGGCCTATAAAATCAGAAATTTTTAAAAAATGTGTTTTCGACATCTTCAAAAATTTGTTAAGAAAAAACACTATCTAATTCTGTATTAAATCGTAAAAGACATATTTTCCTTGTCATACATCTGATTAACAACAACGAAATTTAATAACAGCGACAAATTAGTACACGTTTTCAATGTTGCAAGTATAAATAGGCGTAACTCGCGCTTCAATTGTTAATTTCCAGTGATTCGCCTAGTTCATCTTGCAACAATAAAAGCAATGCTTGTACTTCAATTGTCTACGTCAAAACGTGCAGAAATTAAAGCGCAGTTTGATTGGTTAACTATTTCAACTTTTAATTGTTAATTACTCGGTTATTAGAGATCGGATTGAAAACTTGTAGAAAAGAAAGAAAGACTTGGAATTTCACAGGAAATGTGTGTGCGTTATCGAAGTACAAAATGTGCATAAATGCATATGTAGGTACAGTTGGGACATTCAAAATTGGCATAGTCAGCAATAAAACTGCCACATTTACTTTCTTTTTTCAACTTACTAACTAGACTAAAGCAGTAACTGACAGAACGCTTACTTTTACTCACGCTATAAGGAATATCGTAAACAAAGAAAAGAGATGCCAGGTAGGAATTGCAGCGGACACTAATAAAGAAAAGAGCGTAAACATAGAAAAGAGATGCCAGATAGGAATTGCAGCGGACACTCATAACGAAAAGAGCGTAAACATAGAAAAGAGATGCTAAATTTCAATATTCTTAGGAATTTAGGCAGGCAAACACTTGCTTAAGGATATAATTTCAACCAGGCAGTTATAAAGCCGATCCTGATATTTTGCATGCCTACCCTAGACAAAAATTTTCAGTCTCTCTTCAGTATCTCAGAATCTTTCACCGTCTTTGAAAGCATCTCTCACAGTCTTTCACAGTCTCTCAGTTATTGCCTAGATGTTTTTATGGATCTCTCACAGTCTCTGTATGAGAGACTCGAACGATAAAATTGTTAATTCAGAGATTCGAGTCTCTGACAGAGAGACTGAATGAATAAAACTGAAAAGTTAAAAGACTCGAGTCTTTCGTAGAAAGACTGGGATTTCTTAAATATGTTGAACTTAGAAAATTTTAACCATGTTTATCGAGACACCACTTATTGAGAGATTCGAGTCTCTCGTTCAGAGATTCGAGTCTCTCGTTCAGAGATTCGAGTCTCTCGTTCAGAGATTCGAGTCTCTCGTTCAGAGACTGGATACGAACTGAGGATCTCTCTATGAGCGACTCGTTCAGAGACGCTAAACAATTTCTTTGACAGTCTCTCTCAGCGACACCAGAGAGACTCGATGAGAGACGGAGACTCAAGTCTCGCTTTGAGAGACTCTAAGAGACTGAACATTTTTATCTCGGGTAAGCAACATCTAATCTCTGCATCGTTTACTATTATTCAGTCATCTCTTTTCACTTTGTCTGCACTACTCATGAAGCATTTCCTTACTTAACAAGACTGCAGTCCCAAGTAGAATAAAGAAAGAAGATACGTCAATTCTCACAGATAATTTATTGCGAACTTTGCCAATTTTAATCGTCCCAACTGTAGGTACGAATCTAAAACTTTTTTTATTGTATCTAGCACACGTTGCAAAACTAAAAATGCCTTTGTTCCTCATTGCAATGCGCATTCATTGAATAAAATTCGCTTTTGCTTGTAACATGTCAGTGAAACTACCCACAACAAATTCAGCATATGTCGGATTATAATTGCAAATTTCCAGGATAGTTTTTCTTTAAAAACGATGTCACGATCGCACACCAGGGCTTTGTGTCTTTGTACTTTCAATTTTGCCAGCGACGAATAATGACGTGGTGAATAACAGTTGAAATAAATGAATATGTTTGTCTCTACATGATCCTATATTCCATATTACTAAATACGCGTCAAGGATTATCGACGACCACATAAAACTGAATCTTTTCTATCCTTCGGGAACAGTATTTTTTTTTTTAGATGAAAAATACCATTTGTACTTTTTTGTACCCCTGTCAATGTGTCCATAAAATTTCATGATGATCGATTGAGATAGAGATGCACACTGTCGCCGCTACTTTTTAACCTATACATCGAAGACGCCATGAACATCATTAAAGACTACAACTGTAGGGATAGACGTGCATGGGAAAAAGATTAGTATGCTTAGATTTGCAGATGATATAGCAGTATTAGCATCTAGTAAGAAGGACCTAGAGATAGCTTTAAATAAAATGGAAGCGGTACTCACAGATCAGTACTGTATGAAAATAAATAAATGTAAAACTAAAATACTGGTATGCAAGGGAAGAAAAAGTAGGGAAAGAGTGAATGTAAAGATAGGAGACGAAAAATTAGAAGAAGTGGCTGATTTTAGATACCTAGGAAGTCAGATATGTCAGGATGGAAGGAGTAGTAGGGACATAAAGCAGAGGATAGCGCAGGGTCGTGTCGCCTTTAATAAAAAGAAGTCACTTCTATGCTCGCGAACGGTTAATTTAGAAATTCGAAAAAGGTTGTTAAAGGTGTATGTTTGGAGCACGGCGTTGTACGGTTGCGAAACATGGACAGTGGGAGCGGCGGAAAAGAAAAGGTTAGAAGCGTTCGAAATGTGGTGTTATAGGCGGATGATGAGGATATCGTGGGTAGAAAAGGTTAGAAATGAAGAGGTATTAGAAAGAATAGGAGAACAGAGGACTCTATGCAAGTCAATAAAAAATAGGCGAGATAGGTTGGTAGGAAACCTTCTTAGGCATGAAGGTCTAGTTAGAGACATATTAGAGGCAGAAACAGGAGTTAGGAGGGGTAGGGGTAGACCTAGATTAGATTACTGTTCGAAAATGGTTAAGGATATGGGTTGTTCTAGCTTTAGGGAAATGCGAAGTTTAGCTCAGGATAGGAAAGAGTGGAGATACGTGTCCAACCAGTCTTAGGACTGACAACTTTATGATGATGATGATGATCGATTGAGTAGTTAAGACGTGAAATCGTCCCCTAAAACTAATGTTTTATCCCTCGAGAACAATTTTTTTTGCTGGATAAAAGGTACCCTGTGACCTTTTCTATACCTTGACAATGTGTCTATTAAATTTCATGATGATCGATTGAATAATTAAGGCGTGAAATGTATTGCTCTATCTGTATGGATTAATGTGCATTCTTTTGTGCAGCAAGGGTCTTAAAAATCGATATTTTGTCATCAATATTGCGCCATTTCTGTAAATCCCCGATATACTTTGTACTTCCCCGGTCGTAGATATCATAGATGGGCAAAAGTTGTCTTTTTTGCATTGATTGCTTAGCAATTATTTTGAGGTGCCTGATGTTACATATTGGCGATACTTACATATGTATGTGTACAAGAAATACTACGATATAATAGTCTCAAATTTTTTGGACGGTACTGTACAGAGTGCATACACAGCACACTTATTTCTTAACTTAATCCGCAAGCGCTTACTTGATATTCATGAGTAAACGGAAAAAAGCAATCTTCTAGAGGCGTACAAAAATAATTGCATCTTCTATGAAAATATCGCTATCACACATAAACGCAGTGACGGACCCAAGGGATGGAGAGGGGAAAATTTTCTCCCCACTACCAAAAGCTCTTTGATGTATGAATTATTTTAGAAGTACTGTAAATAATGTTGTGTGACAAAAATTGAAACTAGGAAAGTCACTTAATGTCAGAAAAGAAAACAAAGAATGATTAAAATGAGTTCATTTTTATTAACCTTCTTTAAGGTTGGGTTAGGTCAGGTTGGGTAGCCTTATTAACTAACCGCAACCTTACCTTCAAAAGATGGAGCATCATCACCATAAGGTCGTCAGTCTTAAGACTGGTTGAACACGTACCTCCACTACTTCCTATCCTGAGCTAATCTTCGCAATATCGCTAAAACTAGAATAGCCTACGTCCTTAACTATTTGCGAACAGTAATCTAATCTAGATCTACCTCTACCCCTCTTAACTCCTGTTTCTGTCTCTAATATGTCTCTGACTAGACCTTCATGCCTGAGAAAGTGCCCTACCAAGTTATCTCACCTATTTCTTATTGACTACCACAGAGTTCTCTGTTTTCCAATTCTTTCTAAAATTTATTCATTTGTAACCTTCTCTATCCTTGGTATCCTTATCACCACATTTCGAACATTTTCGATTTGCAACAGGGAAATTGCAACGGCTGCAAAAGCTCAAGTTTCTCCTCTGAATGTTTCTGGATTCGGCCCTGGATAAACGTGTGTAAACATTTTACTTCCTGTGGAAGTGTATCTAAAAGTTGGATGCTAACCGAGGTGTCGTACCAACGTGAAATTCGTAATAAAACAAAGGGATACTGACTACTAAACTCGATAAAGACCTACCAATTGAGCTCTATGCACAATAAATAGCTTTGAAATCTGAAATTCAGAAAATTCGTCTCATCACGGAACTTGCTTGCGTTCTTCCTATATTAGACCAGCTTCTCTAAACTCAACTAATTAACAATTATCCTAACCCTTCTCTGGAACAATGACGACTATCGAGTTTATCAATACTCTCCAAAAAAAAAGAGATGAAACTTCGGGGGTTGATGATCATGGTCTAGGATTGTTTCTAGAAGAAGTCGTTTATTGCTTGTTGGTATATCAGAGGTTTTAATTAACGATAACTTACTATGATTTTTATCACCTTGCCTTATCAACTTTTAGTATTTATAAACATTATAGGCTCGTTTCAACGGTTTGAACTCTACCCTGTCGTTGAAAATCCGCCAGCCAAGAATTAAAATTTCATTGATTTAGTATTTCAGTGACTTTCAGAGACTTAAGGTGGTTTGAGATGTTGATGAGTCCGCCAAAACGAAGACATGAACCACTAACTGTAGTGGGTTTGCCAGGTACCCGATTATTTTGCACTCGGCAAAATCACTTTCCGGTTCATCTCTCGTCTTTAGCCTTAGCTACATGATCTAGAGGTTTAGGCCATTGTTTAACATACGGGACAACTGCATTGGATTACTTCTTATCGTTAGATAAATGGTAAGGCAGCATTAGGAGATGGTGAACAGACAAAAAAATGAGAAGAAAAGTATCGATTTGAGTAAAGATCTATATGATGGGTGGGATCGAAAGAGGGGTCTGCCCCACCATTGTACCATAAAAAGTTCGTGGCGGTCTCACCCCCATAAAAAGTAATAGGGGTTCAAAGTTAATAAATATGCCAATTTTTATACATTTCTAGGAATGTAAATATTTATATAGTCATTCTTAAACAATATTCAAAGGTGAAACTAATGGAAAATACATAAAAATATTGAGAAAGTTATATAAGACATTATTTAAATATCTTTATCAATAGGGTAGGTTAGGTTAGGTTAGGTTAGGTTATCGGATTTTGTTCAAGCGACCACCCTCTTTCGATCCCCCTCTACCCTCTTTTGATCCCCCTCATCTAACCCCCATAAGTGTTTATGAGGGTGAGACCGCCACGAACTTTTTATGGTACAGTGGTAGGGGAGATCTCCTCTTTCGATCCCCCCACTTCCACCCCCTTTGAGGGTGGGGGCCATCATCTAGGCCTTTGCCTCGATTTGTTCTATGGTATTTATGCAACATGGATCCTAGAATTGTTAGGATCATTGTTGTAATATTTTGTTAATGATACAATGAAAATGCTTTTGTTTAAATATTTTGTGAAACGACATTATTCACTCCCTTTTTAAGCTTAGCCACAGTCGGGTAAAAACGTCCCGACCCTTCTACAGATTTTGGTACTGAGCCCAATTTCGGACCAAATACCTACGCCACTGGTACTACTCGTGCATATTATATGTTAAAAAAATACTTACACATGATAATGTAGGTAGATACTTATCTACATACGTATGTGTGTACGAAGTACATAAGTATATAAGCACATTTTACGTGGTGCGTACAGACAGGCAGACAGACACAAAGAAAGACAAACGTACATACCCGTTTTAAATTATCCTCATAATCAGCCGTAATATTCTCTATCACTTCCCTCAGATCACTTGTCACATCTGAAAGAAACATTATAGTTTTCAAGGTGTTAAAGTATATACTGTTGGATTATTTATTGGTGATCGTTCAAGTTCACTCATACTTTGGAACTACATAAATATAAGTAACGGTCTGTTCGACTGTTTTCGACCTCAAACCGCGTTTTCTTTTCACGCTTGGTAGCTCAGTCAGCTCATGTATGATAAGATTATTTGCGTACTTTTACTTTTTTTAGTAAATCAGAGAACGACATGACAATAAATGATTGAAGAGCCATAAAAAGTTTGCGATATATCTTTTACCTACCAATATACGTACACGTAGACGATTTAGTATCGGAAAACCAATTGAAATTGAATATTAAGAAAATACAGCAAGGCGCATATGCGTAAACGTACAAGTGACTTAAGTCAGAAATGCGTGCGCTTATTGAATTCCGTTTTTGCGCATTTCACTTGTGTATAATGGGTTGCATACAGAAAGTACGAAAGTTAATTTATTTGTAATTTGTTACGTAATTATTAATAAATGTTGACGTAAATAATATCAGTCGTCATTTTTACATTTTTTTTTTAATAAATTTGCAGAATTTCAATAAAATCTGACACAATTCATGACTGTTAACCGATTTTTTTGTTTTTAATTAAGTACAAATTTGCAACAGTTCCTTTTACTTACTTGCAAACCCGTAGGATGTTATTAGAAGTACGAAAAAAAGCCACAAAAATAGCATTTCAATTTCTTAATGACACTTCTTTCAACTTTCAAATTTTGAATGTTCTTGTAGAAGTGGGAACAGCTAAAGTTACAACATGCGTACGGCAAGATTAGTTTACTATTTAAAACATGTTGAGATTATCGTTCAAGTCAAAGGTGATGATGATATACCAATCAACAATTTTGAATTGAATTGAATGCAAATTAGACGCAGACTGAGTCGATTTAAAAAAATTTATTGAGCCAATCGTTACAATTCTTTAAAAACTTTCAAAATAGGCTCTTTCTGCATCGACGCAGCGCTGCCAGCGCGATTTCCAAGCATTGAAGGCGTCACAGAAGGCATTCTCCGGAATGGCCTTAAGAGCCGCGGTGCATGCTGCTTGGATCCCCTCTGTTCTCTAAATGCTTGCCTTTCATCGGCCTTTTCATACGAGCAAACAAAAAAAAGTCCGGGGGGGGCACATCTGGGCTGTAGGGCGGCTGCAGAAGCGTTGGGATGCCGGCCTTGGTCAGGTAGCTGTCCACAAGAAAGAAGGTGTGAGCCGGGGCGTTGTCGTGGTGCAACTTCAGTCGGCTGCGATGTCTTGTCGGATCCGATTGACCCTTCGTTTGAGTCTCTTGAGGACTTCCACGTAAAACTTGACGTTGACGGTTTGTCCAGGAGGAACAAATTCATGGTGGACGATGCCTTTCATGTCAAAAAAGACAATGAGCATCGTTTTCACTTTGGATTTGCTCATTCTTCCCTTTTTTGGGCGAGGAGACGCCGGCGTGTGCCACTCGGAAGATTGCCTGTTTGTCTCGGGATCATACTTCAAAGATCCATGACTCGTCACCTTATTTAAATTAATATTGAACTATATACACGTTTATAGAGGCCTTAGAGAATCATCACCATAAGGTCGTCAGCCCTAAGACTGGTTGGAAACGCATCTACACCCTTTCCTATCCTGCGCAAATCTTCGCATTTCTCTAAAGCTAGAACAACCCACATCCTTAACTATTTGCGAACAGTAATCTAATCTAGGTCTACTTCCGTTACTGCCTCTAATGTATCCCTGACTAGACCTTCATGCCTGAGAAGGTGTCCTACCAACCTATCTTGCCTATTTCTTATTGACATCCATAGAGTCCTCTGTTCTCCTATTCTTTCTAATACCTCTTCATTTCCAGCCCTTTCTACCCACGTTATTCTCATCTTTGCCTGTAACACCACATTTCGAACGCTTCTAACCTTTTCTATTCCGCTGCGCTCAGTGCCAATGTTTCGCACCCGTACAGCGCCGTGTCGAGAATGAATATAAAACAATTTTACGAAAGCTCTCTGCTATACAGCTGGAATAGAATGGTTTTATAAGAACGACTATAATATTAAATACAAAACATTTTCATGTCTTATATTAACATCAATAAAATTGCTGTTCCTGTTTAAAACTGTCAATGTGAAGTGACCAATATATATTATAAAAGAAAATGTACAATGTGAGTACCGCCAAAACTCAGAATTGAGTCCCGGTACAATCAAGGGAGTTATATAATGAGGTAACCCTCTATCTCCCGTTCATGAAGAAGGTTCCCGTTTTTACCCGAAGGCCGTGCTTTTGAAGATATAAAGGATGGAGGTTTCGCCCTCTAAAAATTTCTAAATCAGTTCGAGAGTATTCTAAAGCATTCTAAAATATTCTAGAACATTCTGGAATGTTTTGGAATGTTCGGGAACATCCCAGATCATCGTGGAGCTATTTATTGGTAGGTGTATGTCATACAAGATCCATCGTGGATTGCAACTTTCGTCAACATCCCGGAACATTCTGGAATACTCTGGAATGTCCCAGATCATTGTGAAACATTCCAAAACACTCTCTTACATTATCATTTTATTATTATTTTTCACTTTTAATGCTTTCAACGCATCGACATTTTCAGATCATCGAATATTTATCCTTTATGTTTCTTTATTTACGTTTGCTTGTGCCCTAGGTAGGGGGCCTAGAAACCCTCGACAGTCGACCCCGGTAACATTTTCAATACTAAAATCACAATGCTTTGCTTTTAACTTAATTCTCCGATGAATCGCCCCGCTCCCTTTTTTTATGAAAGTGGAATACTGACATCTTTAATTTTACTTCCGAATTGCTATTTTAAGCATATCAGTAGAATACAGTGCAGTTTTTCTTTCAGCGATGGGTACCGAAATTTGGAAATTTATCGAAGAAATAACGTGAATACTGGGGGTCCATATGCGGCATGACCAGTTTGGTTCTAACAGTTCCTTTAACTGTTATCTCACTTCTTGGACTGGTCGTAAACGGTTACGTACTTGTTATAGTAATTCTTACAAAACAGGTAAGTAGTATACTTCGTTTACTTTCTGTAGCGATGTGACCTTCAGTTCGACCGGCGCAAAGTAGAAAAGAACAGCACTAGGTCAGAAAAGGAAGGAGACAACTCTCGGCCAAACTCTTAACCGGTGAGGAGCGTATAATCCGTACAGTACTGCACGGAAAAATTGACCATTTTATCCACTACAATTGCATTGCTCAAATGTGCTGTTATTGGTGCCAATTACTACTGAAAATATCAACGAGATGTTTATTTATATTTGAAGACATTAAAGGCTTTAACGCTTGTTTTCGACTCGCACTACTGTTCATGATTGAACAAAAATTTTCGCAGGTACTGTATGAAAAAGTACAAGAACAAGAGTCGAGAGTATAATGAGCTTTTTTCTCCCTACCTACGATTTTGCCAGCGCGCATCCAAAACATTGGAAGGGGCACATCGTTAGAGAAAGTAAATGAAGTATAATACAGTGTTGCTTCTAAGACTGCGGATGGTCACAACATCCGGTCCTTACCATTCTTTAGTGATCCATCAACTTCTTCTTGACCTATGACAACTTTGGAGATTGTTCTTCTACTCAATGTTACCAGATAGACTCGAAAGCACAGCTACTTTACTTCTTCAGATTCTTCGGATGAAGAATGACCTTGAAAGTTGTCACTAGTTCCGAAAAACTTAATAGATAACCAAAGAGTGGTCAGAACTGGAAGCGACACTGTAGTAGTTATTTTTTTATCCAATTGTACCAAACATTTTTTTTTAATTGAGTGTTTAGTTGGTCAAAAGAAGTTTCTCTCTGTGTTTCAGACGAATTCTGCTAACAACATCCTCCTTCTCCATCTGGGATGTGTGCATCTGCTGTTAGGTGTCTTGTATATTGCATTTTCAGTTTCGAACTTCACCAAACACAACTGGTTAGAAGGCGGTTCCTTATGCATTATTCACGGATTTCTTTTCACCCTTTTACATCCCCTGGCGTTGTGGACCATCTGCGGTCTAAACTGTGATCGATTTTATGCAATTGCATCCCCGCTCCATTACGGCCACATCGTCAATTCACGAAAGGTTCGCATTATATTTAATATTTCTTTCGTAAAAATTTTAAAGGAAAATTATATCCCTCGATTCCATGTGGAATACTAAACAATGTTTTCCTTTAAAGTTTTTCAATCCGACGGCTAATGTTCACGTAACTGGCAATTAATCGACCCAATCAGAGTGTGCTATCGTTGTTGCAAGCTAATGTTTCAGTTGTTAACAACTGCACAATTATTGAGCAGATAACAATCGAAAATTGAAAAGATCAACCAATCAGAATGTGAATTCATTGTTGCAAGCTTAACTGGGAGGAGCACAGCTAATGTTTCAATTGTTAGCAGATGCTCAATTGTTAAACAATTGTAACAAAAAAGATCCACCAATGAGAATATGACTTCATTGTTGCAAGCTTAACTGGGGGGAGCATAGCTAATGTTTCAATTGTTAGCAGATATTCAATTGTTAAACAAGAGCAAAAGACATGTTTCAGTTGTTGGAAACGATTGTCTTACTTCTGTTTGCAGCAAAGGAGTCATGCTCTCATTGGAGTATCATTAATATTGTTGATTACTCGGTTGATACATAGCGGAACTGGAAGCTGTAAAACATATTTTTTTTCTTAAAATTCAATTCTAACTAAGAATATTCCTTATGTCGAATAAATAAATGCAATTACTTAATTACTTATTTCTCGCTTCCCTTCATTGGCTAATTCATTTTGTAATGACACTTTCCCGTCCAATTCGCCCTCACAGCTTGGCGTTTTACCCGACACTTAACAAATTCAGTTTGGACCGGGCTCGTTACGTGCACCGGTAACAAGGACAATGCAATTCTATCCTGATTTAAATCCGTTTGCGTCAATTAGGAACGTAATGATATCACCCTGTAATTAGATAAAGGAAAATCGCCTCGGGAGACGCTGCAATCCCATGGGCAGGGGCACATTTAATTGAAGTTTAGGTACAATCTAAAATGACCTAACAACCTGACACACGAGCAAAATGCTGCAACAGAAATTTAAGACGAGGATTGCATTTTAAAGATTTTCTAGTTTAATGCATAATAAACAGGGGAAATCCCTTATTAATATACATTACTAGAACCTTAGCAGTATTAGCATCTAGCAAGGAGGAGTTACGAGATAGATAGATAGATAGAAAGAGCGGTATTGACAAAATAATATTGTATGAAAATAAATAAAAGTAATACAAAAATACTGGTATGCAAGGGAAGAATAAGTAGGGAAAGAGCGAATGTAAAGATAGGAGACGAAAAATTAGAAGAAGTGGCCGATTTTAGATACCTAGGAAGTCAGATAAGTCAGGATGGAAGGAGTAGTAGGGATATAAAGCAGAGGATAGCGCAGGGTCGTGTCGCCTTTAATAAAAAGAAGTCACTTCTATGCTCGCGAACG